AAAGACAGAATATCTATTTCAACCGACATTGTTCAAATATCTTGCAACCATACTTATGAAGTAATTTGGTTATTCCAACTCTGCATAAGGCTGACTTCAGCTCAACCATTTTAACCATTGATATCCTTATTTACCCTAACTTACTTCTGAACCAAAAAGAGAAAATGGACATACCCAAGAAGAGACATTGAGAAATTTGTTTCACTAGTCACCATAAATGAATAAATGGTCCGTAGTAGAAGCCTGGATTTTTGTCTGCTTCTTCTTTGTTTATCATATGTGAACATGCACCCACCTAATAACCTTTTTAAATTCTATAAGATATTTTAGAAGGGTGGCGATTGATTTATATTAGACTATCAACATCTTTATTATATATCGGTCTTGGTCGATACAAAAAAAAGCAAACATAACTCTTGCAAGTTCGAAATTTTTGGATTATTTCCCTTTTACTAAAGTTTATTTTTTATTGTCTTTTTATCAATTCATTTTATTTTATTTGGTTTATACGATAAGTTTATCCATACCATCAAAAATGATGGCATATTTTCTGAAGTCCTTATTATTAGATTCTCGTATGTGAGTTTTAAAATATATAAATTTATATTGTGCCTATAAAAATGATAGTATTATTTACATAGTTACTGCTGCCTAATGGGCTCATAACCAAATGGTTAAAACATTAGCATCTAGAGTATGACATCTGGGTTCAAAGCTCAACATAGTTGATTTCTCAAGAAGATGACCATGATAATATTAGTGTGGAGAGATAATTCCAGTGTGTGGATTTATTGGTAAATACCTGAAAACTATGCCGTGAGTTAACCCAAACCTTGTAAATTAAATTAGGTAAATGAAACTGGACATCATCAAAGGTTGTGCTACCATAAATTAATAAGTCATTGTGACTGAGGGTCTGAGCATACAGGCCTTGTTCAACTACTGATTTAGCCAGTTTATGTGCTCTCTTTCAGAAACTGTAAGATCCATTCAGTATAATTGCAGTGTAAACTTGTTGGCTCTGTGGGTGTTGAAGGAATAAAGAAGTGCCTGAGCAGATGTCTGCAAGAAGGATTAGCAAGAAGGATTAGCTAACCACCCTATTAGACTCCATAGTTCCCTGAAGCTGATGGATACTTACATCATGCTGCTATCTTGGATCAGTGTAGTATTTGTGCACACTGCCTGACTTAAGTTAATTTTACCATCTTGCTCAAGTAGAAGAACACTAGCATAGTGCATTCATCACATTCCTGGTTACCTCCAGGCTGAACATTTGAATCAGAACAGGAATAACTTGCTATTAGTTTGCCCTATTATAGCAAAAAGTTATAGACAAAAATACAGAAATACATGTGGCATATTATATAGATGTTAAAAAATGGGCATTTATTATTCTGAGTGAAAATTTCTGTTTTTTGTGTTATGAACATTAAGATTATTTCAATTTGGAAGCTAGAAAAATACTATTGCACTAATGAAAAGTTTTTTTAACAAACATGGATAAACATGCCAGGAATAAGATGGAGTGTGAAAAGAACATTCCCCCCCCCCATGACACCATTTTTTTAACTACCTTCAATCTTTGGTAATGTTTATTGTTTTAAAAAACAATGATTAGAATTGTAATAAAACCTAAACATGAAAGTGAATTTATACATTATTTATTGGAATGGTTTGCAAAATATCAGCTAATTGCAATTGATTGAAACTTTAGAAAATGGTAAATAATAAGGATTCTCACATATTTTAATAATTTAGTAAATGTTTATAAATTTGAAAATAAAAAATTGTTTTCACATTTATTCCTTTATAAATTGGTAAATAAATATTGCATTACATTAGTTCTTAATTGTATTAGTTTTTAGAATGTTTTAAATATAAAATTATTCTTGTAAATAAACAATCTAATAAGTAAATAGTGTTTAATATTTTTGTTGTAAATTCTCAAGAACAAAAGAAAATGTATAACTTCATTTTCATCCTTTGTTTAGGTTTTATTCCAATTCAAATCATCACTTTTTAAAACAAGATTGCTGAATAGTGAAGGTAGTTAAAAAAGTTGTGTCATGAGAAAAACCATCCTTTTGACACTATGACTTATTGTAGCAACATTTGTCCATGTATACCAGTTTTTTTTATTGATTCGTTTTCTATGGCTTATCAATCTTTTGTAGGTTATTTAAAGCCAGAAAATATATCTAGATTGGAAGAATTTTTTTGAGATAATAATGATACAGGTCTTACTAATTAACCCATAGCTGGGTGGAGAAGAGGTGGATTCATACCTTTTCCAAGGGTATTTGCATGTAAATGAATATAACAAACCCAAGTGGAATTGGAACAGCTTTCTGGTTAACAATTCTGAGCCATTATCCATTACCCCACTTGCACATACAAGCTTACAGCACCTGGTATTCCCAAGTGGTCATGCATCTAGGTAATAAGCAGACTTGATGTTGCTTAACTTCAGTGATTATACAGGAACTTGGTGGTTCAACTTGAAGGTCTTAATGTAAAGGGTGTATATCACATTAAAGAAAACATTTTGAAACAATGAAATAATACATTTTAATATGAAAAAACAAAATATCATTTGGGATAAAAGTTATTCTGCGAAATAATAATAACTCCCTTTACCCATTCCCTTCAAATACAGGTGAGCTGAGGAAAAAGATGGAATTTGTGAACCTATGTGAAATTTTCTTTGGACCAATGAAAACCTTGCCTTCCCAGAAATTAGCCATTGATCTAAGAAGAAGAAAGAAAAGAAAGTAGCAAGCTTATGCAAAATTCCTTTTGATATAAAATGAGGAGAAAAATTAAATTAAAGAGAGAAGTGTGTCTGAAGTCATGTGAAAGGTTTTGTTTCTGTTCACATGTCCATTGATGAAGTTTTTGCCAGTGTCAAATTACTCACCAATTATATTGACAGCCTTAACCAAACACATCGCACTTCAAAAATTTTCCTTCAACAATCCAAGAAAGCTAAGTATTTCAAACTGTCTTTGTCTACTTTTGACTGTATATCTCTTTTGCGAGCAACAAACTCTCTTATCTTTATTTTAAATATTTTGAATATTATTTTGTGTCAGATCATTTAATCTGTTGTATGAACATTTCCTCTTCCTGACAATTCATTAAAACTATGAATATTAAAAAATTCTGATTTATTTTCCTGAAATGAACTACTGAAACTACTTCAAACGTGTAAATTCGTAAATATATTCCTTATCTTGTTTTGTTAAAATTACCTGTGTTACCTTGTTGTTACCATCTTCCATTAATCTTCAAATCAACTGTCCATTTTAACTCTTAAGTCCATGCCATTATAATTCTACAAAAAAAATGTTTAGATTCTATAAAACGCATAAATAGATAAATGGGAATGTTGTGATATGTTTTTTTAATCATTTCACCCCAAGCAAGGTGATAATGTCACTAAGATGCAATGGGCTACTGGAAGGGAAAGAGACTACTTTAGAAGGAACCAGAAACCCAATCCTAAGCAGGAAACAAGGGATAAACCTCTACTCCTGTCCAAATAACCGGGGTGGCATATGAACTGTACAATTGGCGAACCTATTTAAAATTTTAAAATCATACTGATGAATAATTTGTTAGCACATTTAATGTTTATAAAATATAAGCAAAGTAAAAGTTCAAAACTAAAGCTAACTTGCAGAAAGAATTTCTCAAAGGAAATCTAAAAAAGAATTTAAAGTCAAGTACAGCAGTGCGTGCTGAAATGTGTGTGACGTCACAGAAACACGTGAGAATTAAAAAAATTCGCAGTCAGGCAACTTTTTTAACTCTTTCAGTACCCCGCATAACCATTGCATTATTGTTTCAGTCTTTAAAAGTAAAACCTAATTTGTTTAATAAAGTAATTAGTTATTTCAGTAGTTTGTGGATTCTACTCACGTCTCTGTAACATCATGCACATTTCAACACGGACCACAGTACTTGACTTGTGCAAAAAAAAAAAAAAATTTAAATTTACTAAAATATTTTAATTTTCTCAAAAGGTTGTTTTTTTGAAGCTAAGATAAAAAATAAATTAAAATAACCGAACTAAAGTTGATTAAAATAAAAAAAATATTTATTTTAAAAGCGAGAAAATCCCTAGCTTTCTTTCACGCTAAAAAATAAATGGTAAGTGTTGCAGGCGTGATGCTGTTGTCATTAATACCACTTCTCTACCGACAATAACAATAATAAAGTTTTATTATCATAGGTAAGTTAGTAGCAAAAGAAATACTGTCAGTTATTAACTGAGTTAGAGCTGGGTGGGTGTATGTCTGGCCTTCTTTAAAAAAAAAAAACTGCGGTGCATGTGTTCCTCTCGTAATATCCCCCACTTCATTTCGGACTACCTGACAGACAAGATCTGGCGGTAGTAGTGGTAGATAAGTAACTAAAACTACTCTTACGACATTTGTACCAACCATAATTACTAAGCTGTTGCCGAGTCTATAGCTACGCCTCGGCAACATCCTTCCTGACTGATGATTACAATGATGATGATAAACAAATCAGTCACTTCCTTTTTAGCAATAGTCTGCTCGAGTAAGCGGTAGGAAATTTAGATGTACGGGCACCCATCAGTAACATAATCGTGTAAAATAAGTTACCATTAAAAATAGGAATTCACACTATTTTGTATCCTTAAAAATCTTAATAAAACAATAAGGGTGTGTAATGAGGGAACTAAAAAAAGGATAAACAAAATTAATGATTTTATAATAAACAAAATAGAAACATTACATATTGTTTATTTAAAAGTGAGTGAAATTAAACAAATTATTTTGCTTCTGATCATCCATAGAAACAAAAAAATTGTTAACTACATAAGTTTTCTCTTTGAGGGATCACTAAAATAGCAAGAGAGGGGTAAAGAGAGTAAGAGGTAAAAGAAGGGAGGGTTAGCCTTCTCGTGAGAAAAAGTTAAAGGGGAAGCGATTGTGTATACCATATATTATTATTATGTTGAACATACCATGTCGGTGGAAAAGCGATGTACCAATAGTACACCTACAGTCTCTGCTACTTCTTCGAGTTGTTGCACACCTACGGCTGGTGGTAGTACCATTAATAGCTCTTCTTTTCTTACACCTCCGTCATCATCGTCCCGGGGACGAGACAAGAAATCTATTACAGACCAGCAATCTCTCTATCAACAACACATCATTTCTACTTCTTACCATGGACATTCAACAAAGCAGGTAAAACTTTTTGTTTCTTTTAAACTACTGCAATCAAATCTAATTGTTATAATTTCACACTTGTTCTATGTAAGCTTAAAAAAACTAAAAAAAAAAAAAACTTTATTAAGTTTTAGAAAGTTGATCATAGTTTAGTTAAAATAACTAGCTTTTTGCTTTACGCATTGATTCTAAAAAAAGTTTCTCTGAATTGTTTTCGTAATTATTTTCCAAAAATAAAACTATATCAAAGGCAAAACTTAAATTTGTTTAGGAAATATTTTTTCTGTTAGTTTTCTTCCCTTAAAAAGTTTTTTTCTTCCTTAATGTCAGTGAATTTGGCGATAACCTGGCAAAAAATATCCTCACCATTTCTTTTTGCACATTTTTATAAGATTCCTTTTTGCAGCTAATAATTTCTGGAAAAAACCGATCGAGGTAATTATCATTATTAATTAACGATATGAATATTTCTTAGGTTTAATCATTTTTCAAATCAAAAATCTCTTACCTTGAACTTTTTTTTTTAATTGATGTACTTACTATAATAAACATCAATCTTAAAACAACTAAAAAAAAAGCAACAAATAACTAAAGTTTAAATTTTCCTGACATTTTGTTTTTTAGAGATTTAAATATAAATAATTATTTCAAAGATAAACTGTAATTAAAAATAAATTGAATTAGAAAAAAATCCATTCTTTCTTTTTCATCTTCGGATATTTTTTCATCTTTTATTTGACTTTAAAAATGATTTCATGGCTTTCTTTAACGGCAACACTCCATGTTTTCTTAGTAATTTAAGAAGTTAATAATAAACCCTTAAATATATATTAAGTTTTATTTTTTTTTAAACTTTTTTCTAAAGATCGAAAAATTAATTTAAACAAAAATATATAATTTTCTTTTTTTAAAAAGTGTAAGGAGGCAAAAACTTTCTTCACCTGTTGTAAAAAGTGGTTAGTTTTTTTTTTGTTTTTAAGTCTAGAAGAAAGACTGATCATAAATTACTTCTTTCTTGAGATTTTAAGGATTCTTTTCATACAATTGTTCAGCAACAAAAGTCGTGTCCATTTCTTGAAACTTAGATCAAATATTATATAATTAAAAAAAAACATTCAAAATTAAATTTTAACTTTGATTATGAAAGTTCATTTCCATTTTTTACTTTTTGTTTTGAGATGTTCTCTCTCTCTCTCTCTAATTCTCGAAATTTTCCACTACAGAAATAAAATTATTAAAAGCATTTTCATTACTGCCAAATTTTAAGTTTTCTTTTCTAAGAAAGTAAAGTTTTTTTTTTTTTGTTGATTGTTGATGAATAGCTCGAAAACTTTGTCTCTTTAGCAGCCAAAACTTTTCTTTTAAATTAAAAGTTTAAAAATCTTTACTCATAGGATTTAATGACTTTAGTTTAGAGTCTAAACTTTAGACTCTAAAAGTCATTAGTAAATGAGTAAGAAAGTCTGATTACTTCTCTTAATGAAGGATATATTTCTTTTTCATTAACCAAATTGCTACATCAAAATAAGCACGTAATCACTAAGGAACCAAAAGCAGGAAGAAATTAAGTAATAGGACCTCAAAGCTGGCCAACTTAAATTCTTTCTCTATTAGTAGCACACTTTACTTTTTTTTTTTTTTTTTTTTTTTTTTTAATTTATTTTATTTATTTATTTTTATTTTTTCAACAATAGTCTGATCCTGTCAAGTTTCACATCACTGGTTGTAACAGCTTTTAATTTTATCGTTATTTAAGCAATCCTGAAGTATTAAAAAATGATTTTTCGCAAAGTGCTAATTAAGTTCCTCTTTTCTCTTTAAATCAACCATCTAGTTGGTATGCCAGTGACTAGACCTTTCTTTTTTTTTTTTTTGTCAAGGTATTGTATATTGACAAGGGGACAGTTTTTGCAGGAATGTCATAACTTTGTTTTAAGAACTTTTTATTATTAAGTTGAGCACGACTAACCTCAACCGGAAATTGATATTCATTTAATGCTAATTCACAAAAGAAATTGGAAATACTCCTAATAATCCAGAAATGTGGGCGGAGGCTGACTATATGAGCCGGAAACGATTTCAGGCCCAACATTAGTCAGTCTCTACATAGTAGCTATGCTGAAGTCATGACCGAATTAATTTTAGAGTTGAAGCTTACAACCGAGAGTTTTTTGGGAGAGAGGAAAAAACAAAATTGAACCGGATACGAAAATTAACTTATGTTTTTGTGTATGTATTTTTCTAGTAAATTTTATCGTTTATACAGACACCAAGTTGAAAATACTTGTTTTGTAATTAAAAAAAAAAAATCCGTTTTCTTTTATTAATTAATAATGTTATTTCCCCGACTTTAAAAAGAATCAATGATTTTGTCAAGGATACTTATTTCCCAGTTTTTTATTTGGAATTATTCTGCCCTCTCCTTAATTTTTTTTTATCCCAAGATTGAAAAACGAAAGAATTTAAACAACACAACATTAACCCCGCACGAAATAAATGTAAAAAGTTCCAACTTTTTCGTATGGCAAATAACTTTAGTTTAATTTGCACTTCTTAATCTTCACATAGTAAAAAGAAAAAAAATTATTTAAAAATTCAATAATAAAAAAAAAAGTCAATAATTCTACTTAAATTCAATGGAGATGCTTATTCGGCTTTTTATTTTTTGAAAATTTCAGTTTCAAAGTAAACGAAAACTTTTTTTAATTGGATTTATATACTGATTCAGCTTTAAGTCCTGGTAAAATTCAATAATTTTAAGTTAAAAAAATAAGTCATTTGTTGATGTGAGGATCAATAATAAAATGTTTTAAGTTGCTGATTTAATTTTAAAGTTTTAAAAAATAACTTTAGTATTTTTTAATTTTTTTTTTTTTTTTTTTTTTTTTTTTTAATAAAATATCCTTTCTTTCTGTCTTTTCACATTCTGAAGACATTTTTGTTTCCTATATGTCAAAAATTTTTAAAATTATTAAAAATGTTTAATGTCTCTTAGAAGTTTTAGGAGTGAATGCAAATTAATTCTTTTCAATTTAAAATATTTAGCCTCAAATGTGTTTGAAGAGCTTCTTTTTTTTCTCTTAAAGAATTTTGTGAGTGAGGATTAGTGAATTTAAATTTTATATCTTCCTAGAAATACTTACTGAGGAAAGAAGACTTGAAGAATTTAACACTCATAGGACACGAAGGCAAGAGAAGGGGAAAACAGTGAATAACACCTACTTGACAAGTTTGAGTAAATAAATGAATGACAGAACAAAAAAACAAAAGGGCCGTAAAGAATCAAGAATTATTGAACAAAAAAAAGAAAAAAAACAACAAAGTTGTAGAGCACTATGATAGTCCAAACTCCAAAAGAAAACATGGCATATAATTTCTTGTGAGTTGGAATGTTGTCTATGGAAGGGCATCCTTCTTTCTGTGTAGGAGGTACTTGTTGGATTTCTTCCTCTTGCAGAGGGTTTTTCTTTCTACATTCCTCTTTCTTTTTTTAATCATCACTCATTGTTTGTTTTTATGATCTCCCCCCCCTCCTCCTCCTCATATTCTTCCTTACTCATGTCCTTAATCTTGATGCGTGGAAAACCTTATCTAGGAAGATATGTATATTTTTATTTCTAAAGAAGAATCTTTATAGCTTCTGGGTTTTACTTTAGTTTTGCACAAGCTTACTTACTACTTTGCTGCGTGTGATTTGCAAGAGGCTTGTGCTGTATTGGATTACTTCAATCAAAGTATCAACGTTATCTATTTGCTTAGAAATGTCTAAGCAATTTTATTTATTCTTGGAATTCTCTGGTTTTTTCTTTTTTTTTTTTTAAATTTGTATCTTTTTTTTCTTTTTTTTTTTTTTTTTTTTTTTAAATCGTCGCAAAACAATACTAACCTTTTTTTTTTCTTAATAATTAACTATGTATTCACTTTTCTTTTTTTTTTTTTTTTTTTTTTTTAAAACAAAACAGAAAATAATTCTTTTTTTTCTTGAGCTGTTTTTTCTGCTAATAATAAGATAAATAGTCAAAAAAAAAAATATTAATACTTGTTGGTCCATGGTATAGTTGATTATGGTGGTATCAATTTTTTTTTTTTTTTTTTTTTTTTACTGCCTAACAAGCTATGGTACATTGGTGACAGTAAAACTCATCCTGCAATAAAATTTAATAAAATGATTTGTAAAATATCTTCTAGACTTTATAGTTGAGATATTTGCTCAGTTAATGTTTATTGTTTACCCAGGCACTGTACACTAAACCCAACTCTGTTAAAATGCAAATAGAGAGGTATCTGCCATCAAATACTGATGTTAGAGAAGAGGGGTTTGTTCCTCTTCTATCATCTATAGTGACACTTATTTTTTTTATCCATCAAAATATCTGCTAATGAGACATAGTAGGGAGATGTAGATTCATGGCTTTACCTAGAGCAGTTTCAAAATTTTCAATTTCAGCTGAACTAGTAACTATTCCACCACTACTGAAACTAAAAAAAATAAAACACAAATATGCAAATAATTTGTAAAAATAAATTTTGAAAATTTTTTAGATTCTTATTTTCAGAATTAACATAAATACAAAACAAATTTACTCATAAAATAAGGTATAAAAGCTTGATGTTAGTTATGAATAATACTACTTTTTATTATACAGTGTGGTCCGAAAGTCTTGTCACCCTAACAATCCCTTCCAAACTGTAAGAGCTTATGTCAGCCCTCTGAAATAGAAAATTATACTATGTAGGAGTGACAAGATTTTCGGACCGCCCTGTGCAAGTAACTGTCTATCCTTTTTAAATATAGAGAGAGGGTGGCGAATAAAAGCCTATGTGCCACATCCTTCAGGGTATGGGAAATCATAGCTCTCTAAAATTTTTATTCCTTGTAGGCCTTAGCAGTTTTTCTCTCTTTGCTAAGCCCCCCCCCATCCCCTGTTTCTCCATCCATTCACATAAGCTCATGTTGGCTTCCTGCTTTCCCTTATCTCCCTTGCTCTCAATATAGCCCTGTGATGGTCATTTTTTCC